CCTCGTCGAACTCCGCGATCCCGACGACAAAATGGACATCGCAGCGGCATTTGAGGAAAAGATGAAGCCTCCGGATCGGATCCGCAAATGGCCAACTGGTACGTTTTACGTTGGCGCGAGATTTCGGGCCCTGGCGTTGCGCCAGTGAGATTTGTACCAGGCGCGGAAATTTCTTGGAAAATACGCTGTTCCCTGCTCTAATACTTCTAAAAAATATTTTCTTGCTGGAGAAGGAGTAGCGAAGCTATGATGGCTTTTTATTCAATTCAATTCATTTTTTTTGCCCGGGTATATGTAAAAACGCGATATCATGCCCAAAACAGCCGCCCCGCACCGTATTTTTTTCTACTTGTCCGAATTGGATTTATTAATACCGGAAAACACAAAGAAAACTGTAATTTCCAAGGTTTTGATAGAGTTTTGCCCCCCAAATTGGCGGAAATTTCGCTGGCGCAACCGTCATCCCCGATATTTGGGCACGGGATCGCGTTTTTCCTGGTGGAATTGGTCGTAACAAAGGCGGGAATTACCCGTCGTAATAGATGCCGTTTCCGGCCCCTTGAATACTATTTCTTCCAGGCTCTGTGGTGGCTGGGCACGGCAAAGACGCTGCGCACGGCGCTCCTGAAGAAACACCTCACCACAACTGCATGTCCTCCGAATCCACGTATGTTTTTCTTTTCTGTTTTTTTTTCCGTTCAAAATGTCGAAATTAATTTTCCCGGCAAACCGCCCAAATCCTATGCAAAAAAAATTGGCATTAGGGAATTTCGGCATTTTGAACGAAACCCGATTTTTTTTGACGTTCACTTCCCGATCTGCATTTTCAGATCTGCAAGCCTTCTACACGATGATGACACGAGAGGCCAACCTGGATACCCCGGACAACGAGACCGAAGAATGGACGGAGGCCATGCGAACCAAATGGGATCACATCAGTACGTTTCGATACGCTCTTTTCTTCGCCCCCAGCTAGCTCTCCTCCTAAAGAGTCTAGTAGTCTATTGCCTCGCAAAAATGTTATTTTTACGGGTTGTAGCTTGTAGTCTAACTGTCTAATGTCTAAAAAATTTGTGTTTGTGGCCTATAGCGTAGTTAATAATCTTATTTTAGCGTTTTGTAGTTTGTAGCCTTCCGAATAATCGATATTTTCCATGATTTTGCAGAACCGTGGTTCGACAACGACGCAATGCCGACATCGAGGGCGGGAAAAGCGACTGAAGCGGCCGATGAAATGGGCAAATTGACGGGCACTTACGGTATTTTTTGGATTATTGATTGGTTGAATTTGTTTGAATTTCAGAGCTCGACCCAAAAGCGACAACCGCGAAGCGGGCAACTGCTAAGAAAGGTTCGTTTCTTTTGCAGGCGCAACCTCAAAAATCTCCGCTGGCCAGCCCACCGGAAATTCCCCAAAATCACTGCTAGCTAGCCAGGGTTTCCGCAAAACTCTCTGCTTGTTTCTTTTTCCACAATGCTTTTTGCTGGTTTGCCCTGCTTCCCTAAGAATCTCTGAAATTTCTTAAAATGTCTTAGAACTTGCTGCCTTTTTGCTCGATTTTCCGCAAAAAAAATATTTGCGCGATTTGACCCGGAAGTTCCCCAAAAATCACTGCCAGTTGGCCAGGATATTCCGTGATAATCTCTGCAAGTTTGCGTCCATTTTCCTCATGGATTTTTGCTAGCTACCCTCAAATTCCTAAATGATCTTTGCTAGCTCGCCTTCGTTTCTCCAAGAAGCACTGCAGGCTTGCCCTAAATTCCTCAATGTCCACTGCCAGGTTGCCCCCGATTTTCCACAGTAATCTCTGCTAGCTCGCCCTGGGTTTTCCCAATTGATCCCTCCTAACCACCTCGGAATTCCCCAAAAAGACTGCCAGTTAGCCAGGGTTTTCCACAATAATCTTCGCTAGTTTGCCCCCCTCCCATTCCTAAGTCGTCTCGGCTAGCTAGCCCTGGTTTTCGCCAAGAATCTCTGCTAGTTTCCCTCGAAATCCTCAAAAAAATCACTGTTCGTTGACCCTGATTTTCCGCAAAGATCTCTGCTAGACACCCCGAAATGCCCCAAAAATCTCTGCTAGTCAGCTAATTTGTGTGATTTTCAGATGAAGCTGCGGCTGGAAAGAAACGAGGACGAGGTGTGAAAATGGAAGATGATGTGGATGATGAGGACGAATTCAAGGAGACTGATAAAGAATTGCCGAGTCGATCTGTTTTGATGAAGATGACTGTCGCCAATTTGAAGGAAAAAGCCGCGCAGATGAACGTCAATATCGGGTTCGTTTTTTTTTTCTGAAATTAGGGCAGGCTAGCAGGGAGAATTTAGGTTTTCCGGGGCGAGCTAGCGGATTTTGAAGTAGACGGCGCGCATTAGCAGAGACCATTTGCGGAAATTCGAGCGCCGGCTAGCAGAGACGATTGGGGAATTTCTGAAATTTCAGGGCAGGCTAGCAGTGAAGTTTGGGGAATTTGAGGGCCGGAGTAGCAGAGGTGATTTGCGGAAATTTGAGGAGTCTGGGTCAGGCTAGCCGAGACCATCTATAGAAATTCTAGGAAGGCTGGCAGAGGCGATTTGTAGAATCGGGCGAGGGGCAAGCGAGCCGAGATTTTTTGCGAATCGGGGTCGGCTAGCAGAGACGATTGCGGAAAATTGAGGGCAGACTTGCAAAGGCAATTTTGGAAAATTGAGGGCAATCTAGCAGAAGAAATGTGTGGAAATTCGAGGCAGGCTAGCAGAAATTTTTACGGAATCCCTGCTAATTAATTTATCTGTTTTTTTCAGCAAAGCCAAGAAAAAGGACGAAATCATTGACGCGATTCTCGACCACCCTGCCTCCAAATAATCCATCCAGTTTGTGTCGCTCTATTTTGCACCGATTTTGCCCACTTTTTCAATGCAATATTACTTTACAGTTTTAATTACAAAATTGTCAGTTTTTTTGCGTGTACGTTCCTCACTTTTCCGCCACACTTTTCCACAGTTGCTCACTTTGACGATGCAAATGCGCTGTTTTTGGCGCGTGTTTTTCACTTTTCGGTTGTTTTGGGCCGTGTTGCATGTTGTGTGCTTTCGCGATGATGAATAAAGTGATTGGTGGTCGATCGATTCGGGGATTTTTTGCAGTGAGCATTTCGAAAAACTTTGGCATTTTCTGGGTTCGTAATTTTAATCGCTTACGCCAGTTGAGACAGGCTAGGCTAGGGTTATCTAGGTCATGGATTTGTCGATCTCTCTCTGTTTGTCTCTCTATCTCTCTCTCCTTCACTCTCTCTCGCTCGATATCTCTCTCACGCTCTCTGTCTGTCTCTCTCGCTCTCCCTCTCTCTCTTTCTCTCTCGCTCTCTATATATCTGTCTCTCTCACTCTCTCTGTCTCTCTCGCTCCATATCTATGTCACGCTCTCTGTCTGTCTCTCTCTCCCATTGTCTACCTCTCTCTCTCTTCCTCTGTCTGCAATTTTTTACAAAGACACTTTATCTTACACGGTAAATACTACAGAATATATCACAGAACGATAGATGTGTGGGTATTCATCGCGTTTCTCGGTTTCTACGGATTCCATCGTGGCATCGGCTGTCCCCCTAGATGTGCCCATACCGTCTCGAACTCGTGCTCAAGGATCTCGGCGCCCTGAAAAAAGGTTTTCCATGAAGCCAACAGATGGGAAAGTATCCAGCGTAATCGATCGGTGTTCGGTTTCCAGAATTATATGGCGTATTCGAATAAACTGTGGTATTCGAGGAGGAGGCGTGAGAGACGGAGAGAGAGAGAGAGAGAATGAGAGAGAGAGAGAGAGAAAGAGGGAGCGAGAAACTGAGAGAGAGGGAGTGAGCGAGAGTGACAGAAAGAGAGAAAGATAGAGAGAGAGAGAGAGAGAGAGAGAGAGAGAGAGAGAGAGAGAGAGAGAGAGAGAGAGAGAGAGAGAGAGAGAGAGAAAGAGGTCGAGAGAGAGAGAGAGAGAGAGAGAGTGAGAGAGAGAGAGAAAGAGAGAGAGAGCGAGAGAGAGGGAGGGAGAGAGAGAGAGAGAGAGAGACACTGAAAATCGATTACGCCATGTAATTCGCTCAAATTATCTCTGCTGGCTACCCCTGCTCACCTTTTTCAGCGGCAACGGCGTCTGGTCGAGCGGCAACTCGCACATCTGGAGATCGTCACGACCTGCAAAATTGGCGTTTTTCTCCGCTTACTTTACTATTAGTTGATTTCAAAATTTTTACTAGTTAAAATCCACTTTTTCAAAAACAAATAAATAGTTTTTTCTACGAAAAAAGTCGATTTTCGTCCAAAATTCCCGTGGCTCGATTTTTTGCGGACTTTTCTAAAGCGTTTCCACTCGAAATATAACGAATTTTCTACCAAAAACACAAAAATATTCTTGTAAGCATTAGTAATTTCTACGAAAGGTACTGAGCTGTTAGCGGGGGGGGGCTGTCAGCTTCCTTACCAGCAATGAGAAGTAGTGGCTGTCTGTCGGGATGGAGTTCGATTTGTCGTTGTACCCATTGTCCGTTGAAATGGCCGTACCACATTCCCTGTTGACCACTTCCATATTCCGTGTTTTCACCTGCAACAAATCAGCGGTTTAATCGATTACCCTGTGAAATTCGGACCCGACGATCAGCATTTTTGATGATTTTTTAGCGATTACGGTACGAAATTCGGGGTTCCATGGGTTTTAGGCAAGATTGGGCTGAATTACGACAGGAAATTCGTTGATGAAAAACCACTTACGCCACGTAATTCGTCTCCGCGAATTTTCTGACGTCTAATCTATTACCAGCTAATTCAAATTGCACTATTTTAGGCGAATGCCAATCGATTACGATAGGAAATTCAAGCCTCAGGAACCGGTTACGTGACGTAACCTACTTCCGGCAAATTTTAGCCAAATTACGAGGTGAAAAATCGAGCTCTGGGGAGTCGATTGCGCGAGGTAATTCGATTTAAGCAATTTTTGACTGGTTTTTAACGATTACGATTGCGAATTCCCGCCTCAGGAATCGATTACGTCTGGTAATTGACTTTCAGCTGATTTTAGGCGATTTTGGGCCGAATTACGACATGCAATTCGTGCTTTAGGGAATCGATTACGCTAGGTAAGTCGATTTCAACAGTTTTTAAGCAGGATTTTGAGCGACTACGATAGGAAATTAAATTATCAGCAATCGATTACGACTGGTTATCGGCTTTCCGCTGATTTTAGTCGAATTTGGGCCGAATTACGACATGAAATTCGTTGATGAAGAACCAATTACGCCACGTAGTTCGTTTTCAGCATAATTTTAATTGAGCTCCACCGAAAAGCTGATGATTAAAACCGATTACGCCAGGTAATTATTGAGGGGGTTTGCTTAGATTTTTAAGTTTAGAATCGTACCTGCCGGTATGGTTTTCTGGCCGCATCTCGCGTTGAACGGGACTTTGAAATAGCGCTGATGGGTGAGAGCGGCATTTAATAGAGGAGCACGAGTGGATGAAGAAAGAGAAGATGAGGAGGAGGCTGTAGATGGCCATGATGAAGAGAGAGAAGAGAATGAGGGGGGAGGGGGGAATGGGCTCGTATTCATTAGGGACAGAGGGATACGACGAGCATCTTCTGCCTTCTCTTTGTCCGTTCTGAAAAATATTGAGTGAGGGGGGTTAATGGATTACGATAGGTAATTTCGGAAATTACGATAGTAAAATTAGCGAATTACGGCAGCTAATATTATCGATCGCGAGGGTTAGAGTGCAGTCCCCCCCAGCCGACCCCGACCACCGTATCTCGGCTCCCTGTTCATCTACAGGTGTGTAAAGTATACCAAAATACTCGCCAGAGCAAGACGAACATTTTGGTATAGGTTACACACCTGTAGATGAACAGGGAGCCGAGATACAGTAGGTGGGGATCGGCTGGGGGTAAACTGCAATCAAGCCATTACGAGAGGGAATTCAACAGATTACGATTGGTAATGGCGCCCTTTCTGGCCAATAGATTACGATAGGGAATTCAGACGTTTACGATAGCTAATTCAATAGATTAGGATACGGAATTCCGCTGTTTCTACCTAATAAATTACGGTAGGAAATTCCTCCAATTACGATAGGGAATTGAATCGATGGCAATAGTTAATTGAATAGATTACGACAGGTATTGGACCAAAAACCCACTGGTTCTTCTGTTTCCACGCATTGAAATAGCGGAGACGACGGTGGAATTCCTCTTTACACGCCAGTAGAAGATCCATATCTGGAAATGGGAGGCGGTTGGAAGGGGGAAGAGAGAGATAGAGAGAGAGAGAACGAAAGAGAGAGCGAGAGTGTGTGAGAGAGAGCGAGAGAGAGTGGGAGAGAGAGGGAGAGAGAGATGGAGAGCGAGAGAGACAGAGAGAGAGAGAGAGTGAGAGAGAGATCTCTACCATTCGATGTGTTGATAGTATCGCGTAGTTCTGCATATTTCCATGATGACAGATCGTATTTCGAATTCCTCCTGTCGTTATTGTTACCAGATGACGTCGAAGAACTGAAATTTTGCCTTTTTTGCCAGTTTTTGCCGATAACCGGTTTTTGGCCACTTTTTCGTCTGTAACTTTCCGAAAAACATTTCTGCTAGCCTGCCCCTTTAAAACCGATCAAACTGCCATCCACACTGCCGATTCCCCAAATGATCTCTGCAATCCATCCCTTCCCCTCACCTATAAGACGATGATGCGGATGTGATTTGTTGTTGTATGAGGGTGGCATCTCCTCCCTTTTCAGCAGCCAATCTGCCAGCCAGCTGTCCATCCAATCTCTCTTGTTCTTCCATTCTGGCTGCCATTAATGCGTCCATTCTCTCTTGTTCTTCCCTGACAGCTCTCTTCTTCATTTCATCCATTGCCGTCTTCTCCGCCCTTTGTCGCTCCTCCTCCATCTCGCGGCGCCTGAATTTCGGGGGTTAAAGGACCGCTGAAGGCAAGAATTTAGGCCCCGCCCTTTTCTGGCAACCAGCCAAAAGTCTGAAAGTCTCTGCTAGCCTGCCACACCGCTAAAATCGATGTCACCCCACCTTTAAAGGACCATTGAAGGCAAGAATTTAGGCCCCGCCTCTTTTCTGGCTTCCAACCAAATCACTAATGGTCTCTGCTAGCCTGCCTCGCCGCTAAAATTGATGTCACGTCACCTTTAAAGGACCGCTGAGGGCAAAAATTTAGACCCCGCCCCTTTTCGGGCAACATGCCAATTCCCTAATGATTTCTGCTATCCTGCCCCGGCGTGAAAACCGCTGTCACGACACCTTTAATAGGGCGTAATCGATTACGCAATGATTACACCCACCGGTTCTCATTTTCTTCCCTCATTTCGATATTCTTCCGCTCCTCAATCTTTTCCCTCTCCTCTCTCTCCCGATCCATTTTAATTTGGCGTTCAATCCTGGCCAGTCTATCCGCTTCATCAGCCGCCATTTGACCCCTGCAAATGGCAAATTAAACCCAGGAGATACCGTACCTCAGCGCATTAATGATTTTGTCGACGCGTCGCAAGCATTCTTCATAATTCTTTGCACATGCGTCCAGCTCCATTTCGCGTTTCTGAAAATCGAGGAATTGGCTGCTATTACGCCAGGAAAATCGCAAAATCCTACCTTATATAATTTTGGCGTGTAACTGTGTGTGTGTGTGTGTGTGTGTGGATGTCAGTTTGGAGGCCCGATTTGAGGGCCTTCTCGTGCATAAAATGCTCTAATTCTCCATGACTTGGGGAAATCGACCCTTCTGTTTCCAATGGCGCTTTCAGAATTTTGATAAAATACAAGTTTAAAAAGTTAAAGCCGGTTTTACTGATTTTTGAGGGTAATTTGCATAATGTGAAAAAATAGAAATTTCTTCATTCTTGCAAGTTGCACGCGCGCGTGTGGTCGGCCGGGGGGAGGGGGGTCCGAAGGACCCAAGCTATCGGAAAGTCAAATTTCTTATGCAAAGGCCGCATACCAGGGCCCAAGGCCCGCGAAGCGGGTTTTGGGCGCTGGTTTACTAATCAATTACGCCAGTTAAACCGGTAGACGCCATCGATTACGCCAGAAATATCGGCGGAATGTTCGAGTACGTTACGCTCCAAATTCCACTTTTACTAATCGAAGGAGAAGCAGGGAAAAACCGGGGGAAAAGCTTTAGGAGAATGAGGGTTTTTGGGGGGCTGCGGAAGGCAGGGGAAAACTTTCAATTAGGGACCCTAAAAGGAGGGAGGAGAAGAAGAAGGAGAAGAGGAGGAGGCCACCTTGACTCACAGGGGGCAATCCAGGGGTTTTTGGTCGCTCTCACTCTCTCTCTCTCTCTTACTCTCTCTCTCACTCTCTCTCTCTCTCTCTCTCTCTCTCGCTCTCGCTCGCCTGCAAATCTGAAACTTAGCCCAGGAAAAGAACAGCCTGCCATGACCTTCTTTCCAGGAATAGCCAGCTAGTGGAGATATGGCCTTCCATTCCCCCTTGGGACCCAGAATATCACTCCCTCCTCCTCCTCTCTCTCTCTCTCGCTCTACTCACTCAAAGCCCAAAACCTGCCCCGAGAAACAACCGAAATGATGCCACTCGATTAAAGGGATTTGATATAATCGTGTCGTTAACTAGGATTCGGGGCTCCCGGGATTCTCAGCTTCTGTAAACTTCGACCACCTGAATTTCGACACTATGAAATTTCAACATTATGAATTTCGACATTTTCAAAAAAGTCGATCAAAGGCCTAGCAACCTGTCGACTGGCTGCCAGTTTGGATATATCAATGCCTTGCCAGTCCCTTTAGGGATATGATTTTATTCGCTTAAACGGAGGGCCATGCGAGTAAATGCTAAAAACATGGTCTTTATCGCAAAAAACGTCGAATTCGCGTAAACCGGATGGCAGACATGTCTACTGGCATTCAGTCAGTAGAAGCTGTGGCCGTGAGGGGCCGTTCGCCCTATTCGGAGGGCCCGATTGGGGATGGGAGAGGGGGGTGGGTGGGTGTGGAAATGGAATTAGAGGAGGAGGGGGGCAATTCAGACCTTAAATAATGATCACGGAACGAACGGAAGGGAGAGAGAGCGAGAGAGAGAGAGAGAGAGCGAGAGAGAGAGAGAGAGAGAGAGAGAGAGAGAGAGAGAGAGAGACAGACAGACGCTCCAGATGACGCCACACACCGCTGGGGGGCAATGAAACGCCTGTGGGGAATTAACGGCCCCCGGAAATTGGGGCTTAAAGAGAGAATAGTGGAATTTCCCAAAAAAACACTGCTAGTTTGCCCTCCAAAATTCAAGTTGGTTGCCAGTTTGCCCATTGGCCAAGAAAAATTACGCAAATGAGCTCCGCTGGCCTGCCCTGGCACCTGTCGCCGTCCCTTTAAAATGAGACATGGGCCGGAGTATCGATTTTTCAGCGCCGCGCCACGCGTCGCGCACGCAGCGCTTGTCCTCCCCTCTAATGATGTTGTAATCGATTACGCAATTGAACGCAACGAAACGCAAATGGTCTCTGCTAGCCTGCCCTGGCACCTGTCGCCTTCCCTTTAAATGATTCCGTTGCGTAATCGATTACGACACGTTCAAGGTGGTCAAACGGAGCGCGCGCGTCGCGTGTCGCGGGAAAAAACGAGAGGAATCTAATTCCGAGTATAGCATTTAAGCATTTCCATCGTCTAATCGATTACGACGCCTTTACGAGGGACAAGCGTAGCGTGCACGTTGCGTGTCGCGGAAAATCGATAGTACGCCTTACCTTGCATTGATAGAGCAATTGAATGATATTTTGCTGCGTGGAATCGACTTCTTTTCCCCATCCATCCTTCGAATTCGGGCCCAGCTTCTCGACGATACTCTGCATCTCGGCGCCTCTCTTCTTCAGCGCCACGATCTTACGGTAGAGGGATAACCTGAAAATCGGGGAGTTGAGCTTTAGAGGCACCGGGAAGGGAGAGAATCGCATGAAATACATATCGTAATCGGTTTTTTTCGAGATGGTTTTTGGATGGCGTAATTGATTAAGATTTTTCGTAATTAATTCGCGTAATCGAGTATCTTTGAGAAATTTGAGCTTTAAAGGCACCGGGACGGGAGAGAATCGCGTGGATTACATCTCGTAATCGATAATTCCGAGCTGGTTTTGGCTAGCATAAAGTATCAATATTCTTCGGAATTACCTTGCGTAATCGATTATCTCTGAGCTCCTAATTAACTATCGTGATCGATTCTTTCTAAGCTCATTTTAATTTCCTGTCGTAAGCTGTTTTCTGAGCTTTTTTATGCTAATTACACGTCGTAATCGATCGAGAGAGGCGCGGAAAACCCCCGGAAAACCTTAACTGCCACCCAAAGGTCGCTTTAAAGGGCTCGAGAAGTCAAGCTGTGCTTTCCCAAAGGATCTTGGCTAGTTGACACCCTGACTTTCCGGTCCCTTTAGAAATTGGCAAGTGGAAAAAGCCTGGAAAATGGTTGGTTGGGTGGGGTTTTGGTCCCGGAACGACTTTCTCTGCCTCGCTCTTTCTCTCCTCCTCTCTCTCTCACTCACTCACTCTCTCTCTCTCTCTCTCTCTCTCTCTCTCTCTCTCTCTCTCTCCCTCCTCACGCCCTCGTTTCCACAGGTCGTTCCGGGACCTCCCCGTTTGCCATAAAATGCATGGGAATTGGGTGGTTAGCGGGTGGGCGCGAGGTAAGGAACCAGTCGAAAAATCGGACAAAAGGCTTGCAAAAATCTCGCAAAACTCAAGGATCTCTGGTAGCTTGCCGGAACGAGAATTTCCTGTCACAGTCCCTTTAAACTCCTTAAGGTTTTTTTACTAGCTTGCCCAGGATTGACGATTCGAAAGAGGAAATGAAGCTCTACAAATTGGTATACTGTAATTTACATTATCCTAACGGAATCTCATTTTAGTAGTCTCGGGAAATATGGCAAAAATCGGGCAACTGAGCTACCGTAATTTTCCCTTGTCCTGCCAATCCAGTTTGCCGATTTTCCCCCCAGAAATGCGGGGGCTTTTTGGGTTGCCCGGTTGGGTCTTTCCTGTTGAATGATGGACGGCGGAAAAAATGTGGAGATAAAATATGCCGCTGGCTCTAGGGGAGAGAGACCACCAATTATCCGCTTCCCCGCAAGAAATCTGCGCCTGCAAATTTACTGCCGGCACAAGCCGGAAAAAAACGGAAAAATTCGCTTTAGAACCGCTTTTCGCTCCGGTTACGACGTCAAATTCGCCCAAAACTTGCTGTCACTCTCCCTTTAAAGCGCCTCAATCGATTACGTCATGTAATGGCATTAATAAGGCGACTCCAATTGCCGGCACAATTCGGAAAAAAACGGAAGATTCGTCTTTTAAATCACTTTTTGATCCGGTTACGACAATTAATTCTGAAATCGTAACTGATACCTCCCCTTTAAATAGATGTTGTAATCGAATACGCCACCTAATTTCAGGATCGAGGAATTCATACGGATTTTGAACCAATTACGACGTCAAATTCGAACCTGACTTGCTGTCACCTTCCCTTTAAATCGCTTTTCAATCGATTACGCCATGCAATCGCTTTTATAAGGCGATAAGTAGCTGTCACGTCCCCTTTAAAAGAATCGGCAAGGCAAAATTGCCGCATATGGTAACTAGCTACAGTACGCCCAGACGTCAAGAGGAATCACGCGGAAAATCACCGTTTTTTTTCAAAAAATTTAACTTGAAAAAATTTGGATAATTTATTTTTTAGGGTTGAGGCGTTACCGTAATTTCATAGCAAACGTAGTATTAAAAAATTAACAATAAACGTTACAAAAAATGTGGAAAAAAATCTACCGTAATCCGGGCGGAAATTTCGCATTTTTTTCACAAAAAACAAGCCCAGTTAAAATTAGATCGAAACCCTAAAAAGCTGATCTGGAGAGAAAATAGCTAAAAACAGCTAGAAACACCTAGAAAGGGGCAATTCAATTCAGGGTGCACGGACGCTAGCTATCGTCGGTAAACAATTAAGGAATGGGGCTGAGAGGGGCCTTCCAACGTTTCCGAGGCCGTCTAGCAACGATTCTTTGCCGAAAATCAGCTTGATTGGGTTTTTAGGTGGCAATCCAGCAGAGTTTCTTTGGGGAAAATGAGGAGAAAGGATATTTTGAAGGAAAGCTAGTAAAATCTTTGTGGAATCCGGCTAGGCAGGCTACCAGTGACCCTGCAAGCATATTAGCTACCATTCGATTCAGTGGCCTGCTAGCAGAGACCATTTACAAAATTCAAGCAGGCTAGCAGAGATTATTTGATGGGATGGGCAAGCGAGCAGAGATTTTCTAGGAAATGCCCTGGCAAGCGAGCGGAGATTCCTAGTGAATTCTTAGGCAACTGGTATCCAAAAATTAAGAAGGCCGAAGAAAAAGAAAAAACCAGATCTAGGCGGCCGGCTAGCTAGCAGCGGTTCTTTGCGGAATAGATCTGGCGGGCTAGCAGAGATTCTTAGGGAATTTGCCCGAAGCAAGATATCCCTAAAATTTCGAAAACCAATGGAAAACAGAGTAAAAAGCGCGGCAATTTGATCGGGCGATCAGGCTAGCAAAGATTCTTTGCGGAAGATAAGGCCAATCGAGCATCGAACAGACGTTTTCAAGAATTCTTTAAGGAAAATCAGGACATTTTTGGAGGGCATATTAGCAGAGATTCTTTTACGGAAAAACAGTTAGCTCGCCAAAAATGGTGAAAAACAATGGAGGGTACAAAGAAAATGAGAAATAGCACCAAAAAATGGATAGGCAGTGCTTCCGGTGAGCGGCTTCTCATTTTGAAGAGAGAAAGGAGAAGCTGGGGCCTACTAATTTGGGTGTGGAGGGGAAGGAAAAGAGGAATGGAATGGCCCGTGGAGGGGGATGTTTCTCTTAGAGGAAAAGGGGCAGATGAGGTGGGAGGGAGAGAGGCCAATATAATCCTCTCTTCCCCCACCGCCAGATTGGCCAAATCATGGCCGTTTTTGCCAAAAAACCTTATCGAGATGATTTGCGGTGTTTTGAGCTTTGGCCAAATAGCAGGGGTCTTTTGGATGCGATACGCACCGCGACACGCAACGCAACGCCGGAGTTATTCGAATTCATGGCTGCTCGACGGGGTCCATTGGAAAAGGGCCGCGAAGCGACGCGACGCGCACTTTACGCGACACGTCCCACGGCACATGATGCGTACGCGACGCGACACGCAACGTGCTGGTAACGCGACACGCAACGCGTAGTGCTCAAATAATCGATTACGCCAGCGTAAAAATGGATCATTAACAATCGATTACGACAGTTAATTCAGAATGTCGTATAAAATTGATTACGATGGGTAATTGATACGGTTATCGCTCCGTCACTCTCCCTCTCTTCTCTCTCTATCTCTCTCTCTCTCTCTCTCTCTCTCTCTCTCTCTCTCTCGCCAAACTATACCTCGGCAATAACTTCTGTCGTGTCAAATATCCCCTAGCGTATCGTTGTATCGTCCTCAGTTGATCTCCACGCCAGACGATCTTGTTTTTCACTGAAATCACGGATTTTTAAGTTTTTTTTAAAACCGAAATCCTTTTTTAAGGGATGATTACGGTTGCAGAGTTGGGCATTAGAAATGAAAAATGATAAAAGTTAAGTAAAAAAACGTATTTTTCAGCAAAAAATCGCGAAACTCAGCGGGATTCTGGAAGAAAAAGGGGAATCCGTTTCTTTCCTGAAAACGAGCCTCCCCCTTCCCTTCGAAAAATTGGATAACTGCCCCCCAGAACGGAACGAAATTCCATTTCCTCTCCCCCGGCAAACAATCCGATACCCCCCCGTTCCGTTTCTGGCAAAAAAGGGATGCGCTGTATTTTGAAATCAGCAGGCTTCTATCCATCTAACACGTTGATAAAATTGTGGTTAGCGAACGTGAAGATTTCCGGCCATCTTTTTGGTTTTGGTCTTCAGGAAATCACGCGCTTCCGGATTAATTTTTTTTCGAAAGTTTGGTTCCTGAGTTTGTCTAGAAGGTGGGTCAGAGAGAGCAAAAGAGATAGAGAGAGTGAGAGAGAGCGAGAGACAGAGAGAGAGCGAGAGAGATAGAAAGAAAGAGAGAGAGAGAGAGAGAGAGAGAGAGAGAGAGAGAGAGGGAAAGAGAGAGAGGGAGAGAGAGGGAAAGAGAGCGAGCGAAAAACCAACATTTAATAACACTCCACGCTCCATATTGTGCCTTCCTCCACCGGACGCCAATCAGCCATTTCTTCACTTTTGACACGAGTATTGCCATTGCTGCCGGGTCTTGGCGAAGGAGCTGAAAAAACGGGAGGTAGGGTCAAATTCCTCAATGATCTCTGCTAGCCTGCCATCCAATTTAGACTACAAAATACATCCCAAAAACGGCAGCATGGAAAAAACGTCAATTCGATTGGATTACGCCATTTAATTCTCGATTCCGCAATGATCTCTGCTAGCCTGCCCCTTCAAATCACGGTACCTGATCGAATTCGGCAAATTTTGCCGGCCGGAAGAAGACCTTGGTGAGGCCGAATTTGAAGTCGGTCGTGTTCAGGCCAAGGACACGGAAAAGACACTGAAAATGGCTTAGCGATTTGAATTACTCGGTAATTCGAGCCTGAAATCGTCAACTGACAGCCATCATACCCATCCGCACCTTGCAGAACAGCCGTGGATCGAGTCGAGCCAATTCAGGAGGTAACACCGCCGAATACATGTCGTACAGCTCCTTGAAGCCGGTCCTGAACCAAAAACGTTGATTTTTGAGGTTTTAAAGGGACAGGCAAATCAGCATCGATTACGCCAGGTAATTATTGCCAATCGGGGGTAAAGTCACTACCCCGAAAAGTCACTATCCCGAAATAATTTGCATGATTTTCATAGGAAAACCGCATGAAAACTGGATTTTTCCGGGAAAAACAATGCTATCATTTTTCGGGGTAGTGACTTTTCGGGGTAGTGACCGGACGCCTTGCCAATCGCTTACACCAGCCATTTATGGTCAATCGATTACGCCAGATAATTACTGACGACGCTTAGGTCACGCCATCTAATCATTTAGCAAAACGATTATGACAGGTAATCATCGTCAATCGATTACGCCTCGTAATGCGGTCAGAGTAACCGATTACGCGAGGTAAACGAAACAGCTTACCGGGATGGATAGCCAGAATGCATCAACCGCAACACCGCCCCCATTCCAGCACATCTCAATTGCCCCAACACGGCCGCGCCATCGAATTTCCACGGGGACATTGTGGCGTTCGGTTTGACGCAACGGACGAAATGAGTGCCCTGAAATGTTCATTGACTGTCAGTTTAGAATCTCTCATTTTTCGAGCTCCGAATTCCACAAAAAATCGGTGCTAGCCTGCCCATACCGAAAAATGGTAAATCGACAGAATCTCGAATTACAAAATCTCGAATGACAATATCTCGAATGATTAGAATCTCGAACGATCAGAATCTCGAATTTACAAAATCTCGAATGACAGAATCTCGAATGACAAAACCTCGAATGGTCAAAATCTCGAATGAACTAATCTCGAATGCCAGGATTCCCACTGATATCCTAATCTAGTTTCGTCTGGCTCGATCCAGCATCGATTTTTTTGTATTAGATAGAAGCTAGTAGGCTGTGAGTATGCCCTGCCGAGGCATGGTCCTTTTTGAGCATCACGCTTTACAAATGATAATGAAGAACATTAGCGTTGAGTCGAAAAAATTTTTTTTTCGACGCAAAGAGCTCCATTCTTGAAGTCTTTAACTTTTAGATAGTGTTGCTACAGCTGTTGATTGCCAAAACCTCCATAGAAAAACTTTGGGTTCAATTACTAGGCCATTAGTGGAAATTTTCATCCAAACTGTGTCTGGATCGAAATTTTGATCGTTCGAGATTCTGATCGTTCGAGATATTGTCATTCGAGATTCTGTCATTCGAGATTTTGTAAATTCGAGATTCTGATCGTTCGAGATTCTAATCATTCGAGATTCTGATCATTCGAGATTCTAATCATTCGAGATTTTGTCATTCGAGATTTTATAATTCGAGATTCTGATCGGAAAGCCGAAAAATGGCTAATATTTGAAAATTCCGATTTTTTGGCGATTTTAGTTTCGGAGAAATCGATTAAGGTGCATAATTCGTGTTTCTCGTCTTCCTCACTACTACTATATTATTCAGGTTTATTTTAGCACCCCCCTTCAACTTTATTTTATTTCATACAACTTCATTTTATTTCATACCACACAACTTCATTTTATTTCTCCAGGTTTTATTTTATTTGATTTTATTCTTCAAAACTTTCTCAAAACTTTATTTCTCAAAACTTTATTTCAGCAACAAAAATATATCACTACAACTTTATTTTATTGCATAATTCTATATCATAGAATAATCATTTATTTCATTTTATTCTTCAAGATTTTATTCTGCAAAGCTTTATTCTTCAAAACTTTGTTCTTGAAAACTTGATTTCTCAAAACTTTATTCAGAAACAAAGTATATCACTTTAATTCCTGAAAAACCTTTAATTTATAAACATCCCATACAACATGTTTCAACAAGTCCCAACATGAAAGCGGATCGCTTGTAGCAGGGAGGTCTGCCCCAGATCGATCTTGACAAATGGTAATTCACAGAAAAAATCACGGAGTGTCACAGGGTGTGGTGAGTCATCGCACATGTCAGGGACCTAGAATGAGGAAGGATCGCCCCCATCGGGGGACCCCAGATGGATCTTGACAAATGGTAATTTACGGAAAAAAAAATCACAGAATGTCACAGGTTGTCACCACATGGGAGGGATCTAGAATGAGGAGGGACCGCCCCCATCGGGGGACCCCAGATGAATTTTGACAAATGGTGATGAACGGAAAAAATCACTGAATGTCACTGAATGTCACAAGCTGTGGCTCGCAGCACCTGTCATGGCCCAATAAAAGGGCTGGCAGGCTTCGGGCATGCCATTCTGTGATCCTCCCGAACTATTCAGGATCTTTCAGAGCTTCCTATTCCAGAGCTACCTTTTTTTTGTTTTGTTTTCGATTTGCGAATTTTTCTGCCAAGCTTCGAAACCCTTTCTGCTTTGGAAGAATTACGAAATTTCTGTTCCGACTTTCGAAACTCCCTTCCGACTTTCGAAACTCCCTCCGACTCGAAACCCCTCCACCGAAACCCCTCCACTTTCGAAACCCCTTCCGACTTTCGAAACTCCCTTCCGACTTTCGAAACTCCCTTCCGACTTTCAAAACTACCTTCCGACTTTCGAAACTACCTTCCGACTTTCGAAACTCCCTTCCGACTTTCGAAACTCCCTTCCTACTTTCGAAACTACCTTTTGATTTTCGAAACTACTTTCCGGCGTGAACCTTGCAATCAAGGAAATACGAAATTCCTTTCTAGCACCAAAAAAAGTCTTCATGAAACGTTCGAGATCTTCCGACCGCTCGGTACGCCCTCCCCAATCGCCTGAATTTACTCGACGACTGGTAGACTACAGCCCCTCACCGAGTCCTACACCACAAGAAGAGCCGCTTCAGCAACTGCCCGACGACAGCATGCCGCCTCCGGAAATTCAGGTTGGTGTTGAGGGGAAATGGGTTTTAACAGCCCGGGAGCCCGATAAGATTTATACTGACAATGAACTTAGACGTTTTGACTATGGCGGTCTCCTTAAAAAGTTTCATAAGAAACTGAATGCTTATACTTATGAAAATGTAATCACTTGGGAGACATTAACTGGTAAAATAGAGTTGGGATTTTTGGAAAAGACCTTCCAAGTGGCTTTAAATAGGATTTTGAATGATTATGTAGCCGAATCCGGCGAGGATATAGAAAAAGTAGAATTTTCTGTTGCTTTAGAGCATAAATCTCTTCAAGAGGCTGGTAAGAAAGGATGTTATCTCCCCCCTAGAACGCGTAGTATGAACGATAGTCATGCCCTCTTTGAAATTTTTGAAAATATGGCCCAAAGCAATGAGCATTACACATTAGACGAAAATATGAGGGTTGTTGTGAACATTAAAACCGCTTTAACCGGGAGCGGTAGACGCGATAAGACCAATATCTTGCAGGGCGAACCTCCCACAGCGGACCATCTCTGTCTTCTTCGAGCTCTTGCTCGTTCAATCATAAATGCAGACTTGGAGAAGCTTACCATTCAAGATCCCAAATGCTATACAAACGGTAGATATGAAATCCTTAAAAAGAGCTCGACCGGATCTGCATTAGTTGGGAATATGCCAATGCTTTGGGGTTGGAGCTTGCCGCCAAATGTTTCTCAAATTTTTGTCCTAAGGATGTAAGACCAATGTCATTAAGAGAAGTACTTGCCATACAAAGATCATTGAACGGGAAATATAGGATCGTTGTGTATGACAATAACGGAGCAATGCTGTTTTCCCCCACCCATTCACTAGAACCCCTCTTAAAAATCCTCTATTCCGAGAATCACTACTCTGCTTTTTTCACACCCCAACAAGTGTTTAACGGCCGAGAACGCCCACGCTTAGAATTTTGTTGCAAACGATGTGGAGTTCTCAAAACTAATAGCACCTCGCATACCCATTGCCGAATGGCTTGCTCCTACTGTCAGAACGAAGATAGGACCTGTCCAGTCATGGTCGGAGAGCAGATCTCTTGCCTAACCTGTAGGAGAACGTTTCCAAATTCCCAATGCTTTGAAAACCATCTAAGAAAAAACAAGTGTACTTCGCGCATTCATAAATGCATCTCTTGCGCTGAAGAGATGAAGAAAATTCTTTTGAAAACCCATTTATGCTTCACAAAATATTGCGGTAAATGTCGAACGGATATGCCTCTTTCTCACAAATGTTCTTGGCAAATCGTAGACGATGCTAAACGCTTGCAATCCCAGGCAAAAGCTGGGACGTTCCGCTTTCTCTTCTTTGACTTTGAGACGGACTGCGTTAGGCATGATGAGAATGGGGGTATCATCTGGCTGCCCCGGCATACCGTTAATCTAATTTCGTTTATCAAAGTTTGCAATTTATGCGCGCCAAAGGACCTTCTTCCAACCAATATAGAAAGCAAACGCAATGCACCGCGTGATTGGCTCTGTCCGCAATGCGGGTCCGTAGGTGTACAAATCTGGGAACCTCTGCCCGGGAAAGATCCGGACGAGCTGATCGAACGGTTTTGTCGCTTTCTCCTTTTCAATCACCAAAACGATCTTTATACCTGCATAGCGCAGAATGGAGGGTCTTACGACACTCATTTTGTCCTCAAACATTGCATCAAACTAGGGATAATTCCGCAGGTAATTTTTAATGGCCAAAAAATTTTGAGCATGGATTTTATAAGACCTAGAAAGAAATTTATTACAAAGTTGAAAAAAGGCACACAAGGGAACTCGGATTGGAACCCGGAAAACACCCCTCTAAACAAGAGTCTCTCATTAATCGTATAAGGTTTTTGGATAGTAGAAACTTTGCTTCTATTCCCCTCAGCCAATATGCTGCTTGCTTTGACTTGCCCGAAAAGAAGGGTTTTTATCCGCTATTCCTTACCGCAGCGCATAAAACCTCCAATGAATGGCCAGATCCAAAATATTTCGGTGCCGACACGATGTCGGTCAAACAGGTCAAAGAATTGCGCTTATTTTTAAGTGAGAAAAAGCAAAACGGGGTACCTTTTGTCTGGGAGGACGAATTCAGGGAGTATTCTAAGAATGATAGCCTAGTATTGATGATGGGTATGATGAAATTTCGCAAATTTTTCATCGAAAATGCGGGTTTCGATCCGTTGCAAGAGGAAATTACGTTAGCTTCTACCTGTCTTAAAACCTTTCGCTATAATTTTCATAATCCCGAATACCCTATTGCAATTATTCCCGAATATGGGCTTTCTCCACACTTTGTCTCGGCAATCAGTCAAAAATACTTGGCATGGTTGGAAAAGGAGCAGGATATTCAGATCCAGAGGGCCACTTTTGGCGGCGAGAAAACGGTGACGGTGAAATCGGGCCGTACGTTTAAACTCGATGGGTATCGACAACTCGACGACGGCACACGAATCGCTTATGAGGTCAACGGATGTGCATTTCACGGATGTCCATGCATCATGGATCGCAACCTGAAGAGCCCCCTTTCCGGGAAAACAATGGAGGAGCTGTACGACTACACGATGGCTAGAAAGGACGAGCTGGAAGACGATGGTTTTGATGTCGTAATGGTCT